TCAGATAGATAATAACTTTGACTTGAACAAGTAAATTGTTGGAGAATCTCTTTCGCAAAGGTAAGTTGACCCAAAGCAGGAGTTTACCTTTTAAAAGTTTCTTTTAAACGGCGATACTTTTTCTCTTAAAATCTGCCTGTGATATTCTCAATTGTGGATCAAGTTGAAAATCAATTATTTCTATTTTTAGATCATTAGATTTTTTTGTTTAATATAGTATTTGCAATATGTTGCGAAATTTTGGAAATATTAGTATCCACAAATGGATCTGAAATGAACGAAGAAATGGCTGATTTTCATGAAAATTGGAAATTCTAATTTCGAAGTTATTTTTAAGCTTGATGAGATTTTCAGAATGTTCCCAATTGCTTCAATTTTCTTATATTTATTACTATGGTTCTTCAAATTTGTAAGGTGGAAAAAGTTAGATTCCTTTAATTGGGATCTCGACAAATTTAATTTTAGTTTAACTGCATTTGTACTTTATGTTAACCCAACAACAGGCTAGGCTAAATGGGATAATCAGATATTATTATTTATTTTCATAAGTTTCGTTTCTGAATTTTGAAAGCTGTTTTATTTCTGAAAGAAGCTCTAAAATTCGTTGTAGGATGTTTTCCTTATTTAGTTATCCAATTTCAGAGTATAACATAAATATTACACTCTAAAATGTTCTGGCATGAAAAGAATTTACAGTTTTTGATGTGTTCATAATGTAAAACTATGGTATATAATTCCTGCTGTTGTATTGTGCAGTGGTTATGAAAAAGTCTGGAAAGTCCGCATTATTTAGATAACAAATGAAACCGACAAGCAAAACCAATCGTGACAGGTGCGTCGTTTCTTGTTATGGACGTAAGTTTTTGGAGCGAAGAATTATTTTCCATTACATGATTCTTTGTAGCTTGGTATATGCCCAATCCGAGTGTACTGCTTTTCTGTGGAAAAGCTGACAGTATATATTCCTTCTATGAGCATTCCTTAAAGATTATCCTTATAAAAATATTTACCTGAGCTTCATTGCAGAAATCTGTTGATTCATCATACTGTAAAGAAATAAACTACTTAAAACTTAAGAACTTAAGAAAGTAATTTAAGAAAACGCGTTTTTATAAATCATATTTTATTTGTCCTCTGACATTTTAGACATAGCTTTTATTCTATGAGTGACAGAATTTCTGGGTAACTGGATATCTTAGATAGCTGACATGATTTCACTCTTATTTTTAGCTTCTCAAAATTGAACTTTCGATGCTGCAAGCATTGCTTCTTTAATTTTTTATCATCCTTTTTATGTGTGTGCATGTGAACTGGAAGTATATGTGCAACTTTAAATGATGCAACCATAGCAAACTTTGTTTTATTCGCAGACTTTGTAAAAATTTATTATTGGGCAACGAATGTGCTAAATGTAATATTTAAATAGGTGAAAAAAAATGTAATATTTAAGTAGCATTGTTCAGTGACAGATAATGTTAGTTCAAATAGTTCTGTAGAATTCTCTAAAACTGAATGAACTACCAGAAAACGGAACATTAAAACATTTCAATAAATTAATTTAAGAATTTTCAGTGCATACGAAATGAGTTCCTATATTTTGAAATGAGTAGTGCTTTTTTTTTCATCCAAGACGGCTGAAGAAATGCATTCAAATATCGTTTATCTGAACCATGCTATAAAATTTTAACGTTTTGTTTTATAATGATAACTTATATTATGCCTATTTTAATGAAATAAGTTAAGACAGGAAATTTTTAGGATTATTTCTTAAATATGAAAATTATTAGGGATTCTAAAAGCATTTAAAATATCATTATTGTCGAAAAAACGATATTGAGCAAAAACATCCCATTTTGATATAAGCTATATAAAGAGCGTATAAATATTAAAGTCAAAACAGTGTTATGAAATTTGTACATATTAAGATAACTTTAGTAAAACTATATATGAAATTGTAGTAATTTTTTTGTGTAATATAACATGAAAATCTAAAGAGGCGATGCTTTGCCGTAAAAGCAAGAATACAGAGGCAAGTTTATTAAGCCTTGAGTGAATGGCTATCTCGCTAATCTCGTGAGATAGCGCTAATCTGGCCACGTTTTTGGCGACTAAATTTGGTCGCTAAATTTGGTAAGAAATCGATAAAAGTAGTCAAGCTTGGAGGCATTGCATAATTAATATTCCGTACAAGGAAGTCATGTGGTGCACACATCAGATTTTTTTTAAGCAGGAGACGTAAATAATATGCATTGCTCTCGATGGGACTCGAATCCTGGACCTCTCGAATACGCGTCGAGTATACTTTCAATTACACCCTGAAGGCACCCGGAAAAGAGGGAGAAAATACGTTATATACTCTCCCTTTTAAAGGATGACTGGGGATGAAGGGACCCATTCGCCGTATCCTGGTCCTGACGAATTATCATCCACCACCTTTTAGTTCGAGCACCATTTGTAGAGACATTAGGTTTTTTTAAGCAGGAGTAGTGAAAAATGTGCAAAGCCCTCGCTGAGACTCGAATCCTGGACCTCTTCAACACGCGTCGAATATGCTTCCAATTACACCACGAAGGGATGCGGAAAGGAGGGAGATACCTTATAAACTTATTACATAAAATATATTAAATAACTAAAAAATAAAAAGAACACATAATGCGACAAAAAAATCTGAATTGTAAACAAATAAACAAAAATTTTGAATGGCTGCTTACTTTGCGTACTCCACATTCAATCAGATTTTGTGCGGCATCTATCATAGGTTTCGTTGGAGTATCTAGGTTGAAATTTCCTATGAAAGCCACTCCTAAAGAGTTGGTGTTGAAATTGACAGAGTGAGCCCCGGTATGGTTCCAGCCACGACCTTCGTAAACTCTTCCATCACCTCCAATCAAGAAATTATAAGCTATGTCCCACCAACCTAAAAAACAAGAGCTACATTTGAACTAAATTATGGAGTTTAAAAACTGATGGCCTTCCTATCACCCTTGTGAAAATTAGCTTAAGTTTTAGTAACAAGTTAACAAACATTCTTTAAGTTTAACTTCGCAGACCTGTCTTCCCTTTGATTCACGTCACGTATATTTGCTTAACAAATTGAGTGTCGTGGGGGTCACCGGTGATCGGCACTCTACTTGACTACAGCGCCGTTGGTGCCACCGGTGACCGGCGAAGCGACCAATAGTAAAATACATAATTACAGTAAATATTGATACTGATAAGTTTTTAAATAGTACCATTGTTACTATAAGGGTTTGAAGAATAATAAATCGTAAAAATTTAATTATAAATCGCAATAATGGTCTACAGTGTGACCCCCCACCACGAAAAATGCATTAAGCACGATTATATAACTCATCTTCTGTAGATAATATTTCAACATAATCTTCTGTAGATAATCTACACATCACCATCTTCTATAGATAATATTTCAACATAATATACATCGCATAATAAAAATTTCACACATCTTCTGTAGATAATATTTCAACATAATATACATCGCATAGTAAAAATTTTAAAGTGGCGTCATGGGCAAACCACGTAAAATGCGCGCGGCAGTCAACGTGTTAAACCAGAAACTTATGCGAATTAAAAGCTCGTCAAAGAACTTAAGGGGACTCATACACCTTAAAACCCATAAGATGTTCGAATAGAAGACTGTTGCAAGAATTGAGATAACTTATTTATTTTAAAAGCAATTACTACCAACTTTTTACAGCTGACTACACAATATAGCTGCTTTCTGAAATAGTAATCAGAAAGTTTGTGTTGCCACAATATTTTTTATAATTTAAAATCCGCTTTGTGACAACATTTTTCGTCATGCTTCCAACTTGCGCGCACAGTTTAAAACATTCTGTTTCATAATTTAATTCCATAATTAATATATAGCTTTTATAACATAACATTGGAAAAACTACTGTGAACCTAAATTTTTAAAAATTTCATGTTAAATTTTCATTTTATTTTATTTTGAGTTAAGTTTATAAAATGTATTTTATTAACAAAATTTTTTAATGTTTCTCTTCCATAAAATTTTTTCAATATTATAATATTTCATCAGATTGTTGGTTCAGTTAGAAAGTAGTGCCCATATAAAGAATTCCATCAAATTTCAAGTATGTAGCATTAGCCATTTTTAAAATATCATGCGCGCAAGGTGGAAACATGGCGAAATATTTTGTCACAAAGAGGATTAAATTACAAAAATATTTGTGGCAACACAAATTTCTGGTTACTATTTTCCAAAGCAGCTATATTACGTAGTCAGCTGTAAAAAGTTGGAAGTAATTGCTTTTAAAATAAATAAATTATCCCAATTCTTGCAACAGTCACATATTCGAAGATCATAAGGGGTTTAAGGTGTATGAGTCCCCTTAAAAGCTCTATAGGTTAACTTAGAGTCATGCTTAGCCGCGTGCCCTTCAGACAAGCTTAGCATTTATTACATTTATTCACAGCAAATATTATTCCCGCATGCTGACTTTATTTTGCGTTGTACATTTCGATTTTAGCTGCAGTCCTTCAGAAGTAGCTAAATAAACTGGTATTGGGATTTAATCCGTGTACTCGAATTTCGTGAACAATTCACGCCGATAATTTGCCACAGTCTTAGCATAAAGTTGTGTGAAAACCCTTAGACATACGGAGGAGTGATTAAATGTATTAATGTGTTATAACCTTGATTAAATGTATTACAATCTGTGAAACTTATTTTTTCATATCGTTATTTGGTTGAAGGAAAAGCAGCTGACAAATATCGAGCTGATGCTAGATCAAAACTTTATTGAAGGAAAAATGCAGATGAGTCGCTCCCATTATATAAAAGAATTGATAGTTATTCTGATTTGTTATCTAAAGTCTCACGTAAAATATACATATTATCAATGCCTAACAAAGAAGAATTCCTAAGCTCCACAATCCAGGAGAAAGAGACTATTCTTCAAGTGGGCAAAGCGAATGTCTTCAAAGTACAAGAGGAGAACTAATAATCGACGTCTTAAAACTTCTCCACTCTGCTACCAAGTCGACAACTTAGTAGCCATACAAAGAATACAGTTAGAAGAAGTTCTAGAGCTAAGATCCAAGCTCTTAAGACCTTATAAAGTGGTCAAGATTAACATAACCACTACGATGTAGCAAAAGTAGGATCTCGTGAAGGACCTGAAGCAACTTCCACTTCAGCTGACTACATGAATAGTCTAATGGAACTGCAACCTGAGATCATTCTATTGCAAACTGTTTTTTCCAGCATCTCCTTTTGTTTTTTACAGCTATCATTTCTTTTCAAATATGTTATTTTTCTTCTTGATTTTATGTGTTTCAGTGTTCAGAGGTCCTCATATGTCGATGACCGAGCACTGTGGAAATAGAGCCGCAAAGGAATTAAAAAGTAGTTGTCCATTTAAATTCATCTTGAATTTCTTAGCAATACTACAAAAGATTAAATAGTTTATGAGTTTATCGCCTGTGAGTTGACGTTTCTGAAAGCGGCTTATGGTATTTAATAACAATAATAATAATAAAAAAAACAAGGCATTTACTGATCGCGCGTAAGCGATCAGACCTGGATAAATATAGGTCTGAATGAAAACAGAAATCCCACCCGCTTGAAATCAGTGGGTGTGATTTATGTTTTATGATACATCATCTCCACACATGTAAACATTAAAATTTTGCATGCAAATAATAATTCATTCTTGTGTCAGTATGTCAGCTACATGGTTACTGTAGTTCTATTTCTACTGACAGTTGCTACAGTTCTCTCATTAAAAATAGGTGCATTATGCTTTATCCACGAAATGCTTTCACTAAATATTTATAAAAGCATTTATATACAGTACATTTCTCATGAAAAATACTCTGTAACACTTTTAGACAAAAGTGCAGTTCAGCTGACGGTACCAAGCCAATTATTCTTCTAGTCTCCTTAAGACTGAAAATGCAATAGTCCTAAGCAGTAGAAATTCCTTTGTTATTTTTACTACCAAACGATCGCTACAGTTATTATTAGTCCATACATGCATGTTATTGTTACTAGGCTTCCACACTAGACAGTTAAATACAGAGTTCACCAGCCGGCATTTGAACAAACCGTATCACACAGCGAACAGAGAGGAAAATTTATCTTCGTATTGGATACTTTTTTCAGTGAAATCTTAACCTCCTCTTCTAAGGAACGCCTTGACGCCGTTAGTACTCCACACTGTTGAACACGTACGCCGGCTTTGCAGATATTTTCGCTTACGAAATACATCTAGAAGACAGGAATAATAGACAATTTGCAGCTTTTTCTCTTAGATAGCGCAAACACGCAGGGACAAGATCAACATGTGTAACCCTCGTATCAATTTTATTGCAAATTTTGGACTTAAATACTTTCATTATCTCAGCAGGAGTTAGAGGACTGCCACCAAACCCCTGATTGGACAATGCTAGTCTTCTGTCATCGCATCCTCACCCGTCAGTGAGATTCCAGAGACAATGCGTCTCAATGTTTTCTTATTTTTATTTTTATTGTATTTTATCTTAATGTAAATAGCTTTATTGCGGAACAATTTGATGAGCCCTTATGTATGAGGCCCTTACTGGGATTCCGTGATAAGCTTTGGTAGGAGCGGAATTAATTCCCGCTGTAAACCAGAATATGCATAATATGGCAATAAGAATAGTTGATTTAAAAGGCTATTTTATTGTATCTATATCTCTAATAATGTTTTGTAATAAGCATTATTTTATGTCGTTTGTAATTCTGTTTCTTATCTTTACTATTGACTGCATCAGAGATAAAAGTTAACAGTTACGCTGAAATTTTATCCACTGTTACGTGTTACAAATGCTACACCAAGAAAAAGCACACAGCAGACCTGAAATGCATGAATCATAGAACATACTAGGATATGAAAATTATTAGCATTTCATGGGATGTGCACATACAAAGCACTCTGGAAGCATACCTCAAAGCAACATCAAAAGGCAGAAGAAATACCAATCTTTCGTTCGGAAAATCGCATTCACGTATTTTTTGCAGTAGATGTTGGCTTTGTTTCCACTAGACAGTAATTCCAATCCAGTTCTTTCGAACGATTAAAAAGTCTAACATCTTAGCTTTTGCACGTTTTAATATTATATTCCTCAACAGATAGCGCTGCATTTGTTTTTGTTTTGCCTAGCCTATTGATTTCTACATAAAATGGTTTTGTTGCCTCTCCCACCTTTGCAAACATTTTATTTTATTATTTATTTATATACTTTTTTTACTTCCTTGTACGAGGTAAAAAGGAAGTATTGTAATCGCGAAAAGCTTCAGGCAGCATATTTCAACGAAAATATACACTTTGACCGCTTTCCAATGCAATTTAACGATGTTTTTGCGGGATATCTGTACGTAAGGACAGAATAAAAGACTCTTTTCCTCCAAAAAAAACTAAAAAACTGCTTTAAAATGAATTCTGAACAGAATTTTTCGTGGCGTCTGTACGAACGTATGTATGTACGTGCGTACGTACGTATCTCGCATAACTCAAAAACGAGTAGCCTCAGAACGTTGAAATTTTATATATAAGGACTACTAAAACATGTACATGTGCACCTCCTATTTTGGTTTCAATCGGCGCGCCAAACGTATATAAATATATTTATAAATATATCCACTCTGTTACCCGGCTCAGTAATCTCAGTTTCTTTACTCTTATATGTTTATAAATTCTACATTTTTTTGCTTTAAAAATGATTGAATTATATTGTTTTTATCTTCCGGTTAAAGTTTTTATGCCTTTCGTAATTCTGGAAGTAATATTTGTACAATTATCAACAATTTAAAAGCTGTTTAAGTGTGGTTAAGTTTTAAATAACATGGCGGACATATTTGTTTACATTTGAAACAGCAGAATTGTAGATTTGTTGCCAATCTAGGGA